CTCTGATTTATTGCTTTTATATGCTCAGCTATGACATTTACAAGGTGATCTGACTGAAATGTCTCTTAACATGGCTAACAATTAATTGCTTCAGTTTTCCTGTAGTTCTCTAATTACAGTTAAGGATGGATATTGTGCTGAAGTGGGGGCAGAGGTGCTAGGTCAGCTGGTTTAGCCAGGCAGCTAGTATAGCTCAGTGAAGGCAAAATGACTTGCAAAGATTAACAACCTTTGAACCTGCCCAGTTACTCTTGGCAATCAGGATATCATCTCCTTCCCCAGCAGTGACATGAATTGGACAGTTCCCAAAATTTATTTGTTGTTAAATATATCAAGATATGACTTATAATTTTAGTTCATGAGTTGTGAAAAATACACCATATGGAATATTTGAAAATGAATTGGTATCTCTTGTCAGGAATTCTGTCAAGTGCCAGGATGCCATTGCCACAGGAGGTGGGGACTGAGGGCAACGCTGAGGCAAGTTTTGCTGGGAGACTCAAATCCTTTGGTGTAGGAAGAAATGAACTATCTGGGACTCAGACTAGTACCTTGATAGCAGTCATGGTTATCATCCTCTTTCTGGCTCCTGGTACATAGGGCAGATACATCTCTTAGGCAGATAAAACCTCAGGGGGTCTGGCTACTCCTGAGCTCAGCAGCCACACATCTAAAAACTCCTGTGTCCTTCAGGCATGTGAAAATGGATATGAAGTTACATTCCAAGAACCAGATACACCCTGGAAGTTCAATGTTCGAGAATTGACAAGGTACCTATTTTTCTCTTTGATATAGCAGACAGCTTCTCATTTTGGTGATGTGCTCTGAGAAAGGTCAGCCTTCTTCCTCTTCATATATCCCAAAATGTCCCTAGTAAATAACAGAAGGATTGTTGTGGAAAATTTCTATTACTGAGTACCTGGTCTGTAGTGAATTCAGCCCTGAAAGAGCCTGACTGTGTTGAAATGAGTCAGACAGTAGAAAAAAACAAGCCCTGAAGCATGTTTTTATGCTGCAAGCTTCTTGGGCAGGTACCCCAATTTTCAGTCTGCATTTTGAGCAGCAGTCACTATATTTGGGCATGAAAACATATCTCAGGACTACAGACAATACTTAAAACTTCTGTTCTTAAAAAAAAATCTAACTGTAAAAAATACTGTCTTGCTGTAGCATAGTGGGATGCTAAATAAGTGTGGTCAAAAAATCAGGTTCTAGAGGATCTTTCTGAAGATCTTGGTGCACACACAAAATGGGATGCAATGAATGTATCAACTCTGCATAATGTGGTACAATACAGGGGCAGCCAGATGTGGCTCCGAGTGTGTTAGTTTGGCTAATGGTTATATCACTGAAAAAAATTAATGCAGGCTAATTTCTTATCCTTTAAGCAATCTGACATAAAGTATGTTACAGTGAACAGCACGCTCCCATCTACCAAATCGAGAAGCTAACACATGGTAACTTTGTTGTTATTGCAAGAAAACATGGCATAGCCATTTAATTCCGGTGGATGTATTTGTTTTGTACCAGATAGGAACTCTAGTCAAAGATCAGTGCTGCTCCTTGCTGTGTGTGATGGAGACAAACGGCAGAGAGGGCTGTGGCCTGGAGAGCTCATGGCTCCAGGGTGAGGCAGAACATGGCAGATGGCAGCTGATTTCTTGGGGCTGAAGGCAGGTGAGGACACCAATAGCTTTAGCTGTCAACTGCATCAACTCTTGCTTCACCAGCACTTGCAGGGCATCACTGCAGAGGCAGAATTGAATCATTCACTGTGGGCCAAGTCACTCAGTAACAAGCATTTGGTTTTATTAAATCTTTGAAACAAATCAGTTTTTTAGAGCAGCACTGTAAGACTAATTCAAATACACTCAGATTGGAGCAGCTCTGTGGCAAACAGTTCAGGTACAGATGTGTCTTTACCAGCAGTAAGGTTTGTGCTGGTTGTTGGCCCCAGGCACAGGCTGCATATGGGCAGGGCACTGGCTGCTGCAGGCCCTCATGCCTGCTTCACAAGGGGGATGCTGCAGCTGGCAGCCTGCTGTGCTACTGTCACCCTAATTCCACCACAGGAAAAAAACACGTTGAGCAGTGCAGGATTTGCACAACGCAGTTTTGAAAATACAAATGCAGGCCAAACTGAGTTTTCTAGAAGAAAAATTGTGCCTTACAGAGCTAAATGGCAAATCCAAAGATAATCAGGGTTTGCGATCTCACTGACAAACAAATTCCTGATAGTCATTGGAAAAGCAATTCCCACTAAGTTGTCAAAGAGACCATGCTTGCTTCTAGTCTATCTGGAGCATCCTGTTCCCCTCCCTCCAACGCTGACATTTACAAATCTGCCCTGGAGCCTGAGCCACATCATGGATGATTTTTTTTTCCTCAAAACAACATTTTTTGACCAGTATACTTGTTGATGTCACTGTCTGGGCAGGCTGTGGCCCTTGTCTGCATTTCTCCAGATGTACAAAAGCTCACCCTGAGGCTAACAAGCTGTTAGTATTATAACCCAGCAGTACTGGTATAAAATACAGATCTTCTGCAAAGCTCTTTCATTTCAAAGTGTTTGTCAACTTACGTCCTGGATGCCTATAAACATAATCGTGTTACATTTTCCAGCAGTCACAGTGATATTCTTAAGAAGTAGGTGGAAATGAACAACAATTTGTCACAAACAAGGGCTAGAAATAGGTTAGTCGAGACATGAACCATTATCCTGAGCCTATGAGGAACCTTAGCAAGCTGAAGATAACTTCTGATGCACAGGCAGCTAAATACTTGTATCTTCTGTTAATGTTGACTCTACAGAAGAAATATTCATCATGTCCCTCGAGAAACAATACAGCGGATGAAGGAGGAATACGAGCACAATGTCACCTTCCACAGTGTTCTTCGGTCTGAAAAACCAAGCAGAGATTAGGGAAGCTACATCGAACCCATGGTGACCATTCCAATCCCCTTTCAGCCTTCTCGAAGAGAAGACCTCACATGGCACACACTAACAACATGACATTGGTCTGGCAGGGTGGATTCCTAGTGTTTTAATTATCAGGGTATAAAAGTCTCTAGTTTTACATTTTTTTTCTAGACTTTTTTTTTTTTTTAACTTTTTTAAATTACTTTCATTTCTTACAAATCTTTAAATGTCTTTGGACTATGATATCACACAGCTCCACATGACCAATTTAAGAGCACTGTCCCCAGGACACACTACTCCCTCTCATCCCTCTTCCTCCATGAAAACCCATCCAAGCATACAGTGTAATTTACTGGCTGCGACACATGCATTTTGGATTTTTTTTTTTTGCATCACAGTCACTAACAACAAACAGTCCTAAATTCTTTCTTTCTTACAGGCCACATGACCAATTCCTTCTCCATAGAATTGCCATTTCTTGCCATTGTACTACTCTGTATCTGGCTGTATAAACTTCTTGTCTCTTCCAGCATTATCGTAACTTTCAGAGAGGCAAAGTGAATGATGGCAAAAGTAGCTCTAACAGATTGTAGCAAGATAGGATGCTGTTCCTTATCTCCACTGAATGGATTCATGCTGGTCTTACCTCACAGCCAAACTGCTTTTCCAGCCTGGAAGCAGAACGCTTTCATACTCCAAACTGAGCCCTTCATCTTGTGAAGACATAGGAGTTCAACTGATCTCCATACGGAAAGGCTCCTAAAATGAAACATTAGTGTTAGACTTGCACTTATTAACTACTAAGTAGGAACAGGGCTATGGGAGTGGCTCTGAACAGGTGAAGCACAAGGCTACCAAATACCCAAACTAACTCATAATGACTTAAGAAAGGAGGAGAAATCAACCTATTCCACCACCAAGTGCTGAGAAACTACTGACTGATGAAGAAAAGCAGCTATCCTGCAGTGGTTTTATCCATACTTGTACATTCTGGTCATTATGTCCTCATCAAGAAGCCTTGTGAAACATTTTTAAAACTCCATTTGTGATGTCAATTTTTTCAAGGAGGTGTGGATTAGATGGTGCCTATAGAACAGGACAGTGGTGAGTTACTTTGCAGTAGGAAACGAAGACAGCTCACACTGAACATTAAGAAATATGGGTATAGCTGTGATTCACCTAGCAATTTAGGAAAGAAGTCTAAGAGGCATAAAGAAATATGCTCTCTGCAAAAGCCAAGCTGTCTTCAGGACACAACAGATGTATGAGATGGATTGTATTTTCTACTCAAACTGCACTTTAGGAGTATCATAATTGTAAATAACTGTGAACCGCAGGCCCAAGGAACTTGGCTCTGCAGTACCACACAGAGGTTTACAGGACTGCCCGTGAGCTTGTGTCAGCCCATTACAGTCCTCCAGTCCTGCTCCAATGTCCAGCTTGGTCACAGGAGCCACCCCAGTTCAGCTCTTGAGCCAAGTGAACTGCACAGCACCCCTAAAGGCTGCTGACTGGGAGCTGGTGGTCTCAGTTCTGAAACGTCCTCCCTCCTTGGACCCATGAGTGGTGGGAAGCAGCAGGGCAAGGAGCAACCTGACAGCAGAGAAACTGAAATGTGGACATGGCAGCTGGTCTGGCAGGACTGTTTCCCTCTCCAGTGGAGAAACTCCAGTTCTGAGAAGCTTCACCTGTTAAAATTAGAGAACAAGGTCATGAATTCAAGTACTAACACACTCCCATCAGAAATATCTTGTGATGAAATCAAAGAAAGATCTGATTCTTTCATGAAGTTGTGGCCTCAAGTGCTTCTTTAAGGAGCAGCTCAGAAACACTGACCAAAGATCTATCACTAATATCTTTGTGTGGCATTTTGCTGTGAAGAAAACTAATCATAGCTGTTCTCTCAACCCCTTTTAGTACTACATGGAAAGGCTGAGGAGATAAGTACAAGTGTGCCAGAATTACAGAGCAATGTTTCAGAATTAAAGTGTTCTGTTTGGCAAAAAGAGGAGAACTGTTTATTTTGCCCTGTGCTACTTCTGACAGCCAAACAAACATTCTGATGCTTCAGAGGGCAACAAAACTGTTTGCTTTAAGACTGAAACAAAGATCCTGCTACAATTTAGGAATACATCAGAAGCAAAGCAATGGATTATAAAATGTCATCAAACCCTCAGTCACACTGATGCTGTTGTACAATATGTGTTTGTGAGTAGTGTATAATTACTAAACTTCAAACTATTTTGGAAAAGAAATGTTATTTCTGAGTCTGTCTTTGTAATACAACTTTATTAAATACAATCAAGATGTAATGTACAAAGTGTAAAAATAATGTGAATTTGAAATATGTACAGTATGGCACATGTGCATTTAGTAGCATTTTCGGGATCTTTGCCTCTGCAGCACTCTGCGGACTGGTAACGAGTCCTCAGGCTCCTCTGGGTCCTTCTCAAGAGCCTCAGCTACTTCAGAACTGCTTTTTGATAAGTTATTTGCTTCCCCAGTAGACCTGGAACTATTTCTGGATGAAAGATCATCAGATAAATTAGTAGCTATTGTCTTGCTGTTTTGATTTACATAATCCATCTTCTTTTCTTCTGGTAAATTATTCATGAGTGCTTGTGTATTAATCATTGCCAGTTCCTCATCAGCAACCAGGTCATTCTCGGGAACATGCACAGTTTCTCTCAATTTTCTGCAGGGGGTGACATGAGCAATATTCTGATCTGTCTCTCTTGCTGACTTGCTACGCTGCAAACCCAAACTTCGCGGAGGCTGAAATGCTTTTTTAACAGATGGAGAAATTACTGAACATACTGGTGTCAGTGGTGGAGGGGCAGGTATGCAACTGAGGAAATCCATAGCTTTTCTCTTTTTGCTGTTTTTGAGATGGTCTTCATTACCTGAAGCAGATGGAGGTGTTTTTGCTGACCCGGGTGTAACAAGTTTCATATTTGGTGTGTTAGTTGACAAAGGGTTTAGATGCTTCATTTCAATTTTAGAAGAGATCTAGTTAAAAAGAGAGAAGTTTTATGTCGAATAGAATGTCCTATTTCATTACCTTCCTCAATTACTTCCACAAAATGGGGGGGGAGGGGGACCCTGATATAAAAAAGCTACATCATCATTCATGTCCCACTTAGGTTTAGTTCTGTATCTTCTGATGGTGATTAATATTCTTTCAAGCACTGATGATTGATAAATCACCGTTCACCTGTACACTAAGACAGCACATCTACATTCTGTTTCTGAGATCTAAGCAAAATGTATGGGAATTCTTCTGTGCCAGACAGTAAGAAATCAAGGCACTCTTAAGTCTTGTACTGCATTGGCTATATCTCCTCCAGAGGTTGTTAAACAGGTAAAAATGAGGAAAAATAAATGAAGAAAAAACAGGTCAGAATCTAGACCGAAAAGCCTGAAGATAAAAATGCACACAATACAGATGCTGCTCAGAAAATCATTCCAATACAGGCTTGAACTGAGAATATTTTTAGTGTCTCATTTGTTCCAACTCGGTTAATATATTTAACAAACAAATATAAACTAAACCTTCAGAATTAAATATTAGCACTCCCTCAGAAATGGAAAAGGATGCTTTATAAGCTTTAATTTAGTCCCCACCTCCCTCACAACTAGTAGCAGGAAAAGTTTTGTTCTGACTGTGCTCAGCGCTCCACATTGGAAACATCTTGCCACCAGCAGCTTTCATGGGAAACTTGAGTACTATTTAAATCGATTTTTGTCAAGCCTGCTCTAAAATGTAAGCCTTTACTAGGTGATACCTCTTCCCTTTTAAATCCTGGAAATAGTAAACATCTAGGAAAAGACCAGGAGGTAAATTCTGTCCACAAAGGGAGGAAATGCAGAATGCCATGAAAGAAAAAATTACAGATCAGGATTTTTCCTTCCAGTGATATCCACATCAGGTAATGCTCACAGTGGGACCAAGGAAGCAATAAATCATCTATAGAGAAGGGATGCTACATTTTACTCACATAAAATTCAGACTATTAAAAGTATGCTGTGGAAACACAGACCACAAGGGGAAGTTTTCATATACTGCTTGGAGAACGACTACTCTCACAGTTCCTCCTGGGGAATAATCCTAAAGCTCCACACAGAGAAAGCTTCTAATCAGCTTGCATTGGCCTGAAGAGAATCTATGGAGTGGACTGAAAAGTGAGCCCAGTCACCACAGCTATCAGTGTAAAACATACTTATATCCTTACTGCATGCACTGTCAGTATAAACACAATATTAATTACCAGAAACTTACCAAACGTTTATCCTCTGCATAGCTGCAGGAAGGAGAGGCTTCCAAGCCACATCTTTTGGTTAAACTGGGTGTAAGCAAGTGATTTTTTCTTAGCAAATTCATCAATTTACTTTCTGCATCAGAGCAAAAGGAAGCCACATTCTATAAAGGAGAACAGTTTACAATTCAGAATAGTTGGTTTTCAAATTGTGTAAGTGCTATGTGCTCAGAAAGCATTTAGGACCTTCTCTTCTCATCATATCCCACTAGAAGTTTATTTTATATCAAGCCAACAACTTAGAATAACTGCTGCACTTTCCATGGAGGGAAATATCATACCTTCCTTTCATTGTTAACTAGAGAAAAGTCCTTTTGTATTTAAACCTATTTTTCAGTAAGAAGTGGGAATGCATGACCAGGACATGCTATTTAACACAGCTAGAAAATGGAAATAAAAGATAAATGAAATCAACAATCCAATACTGAATATGTTCAGCTGAGCAAGACAAGCAAATTTCAGCTCTTAAAAGGCAAAAGCCAAACCATCCATGACAGATTCCCTAGTGGCAGGTACAAGATGTTTTGCTAGCCAGACAAGATTGTGTGGCACATCCTAAAGGCTCTGTTGGTTAAGCCGAATTTAAAAAAAAAAATAAAAAAAATCAAGACATTCAACAGGTGATATGTAGAGTCTTCCAGGAAAACTGCATTAACACCTTACTGCATCTCCCAGAAAATCCCCTCA